TTCAAAGTTCTCGTCAGCTGACAAGTGAAGAAGGAGAAAACAACTCGATTTCAGATTAGATGCCTCTGGCTGATTTGAGGGCTTTCCGCAACATCTTTCACAAGCCCAAACGACGTCCCAGTGCATTGTAACCAGTTACAAATACATGGTGTAGCAGTTATTCAGTAGTAGGTGACCGTTAGGTCCTCCACTAAACAGTATTTTTTTATCGATCACCGAGAGAAGAAACGCCCCAGCGTTCCAGCAAGGAGACCATATGAGTACTGAGATGTCTTACCGAGCAGGTCACTCGAAAAACAGAGAAGAACTTTCTTATATGATCAAACGGTCTGAGCTAACGGTAAGCGGTAAGTTCAGCGATTTCGGAAATCGGAAACCGGGAAATGCTGATTACTGAAGGGAAGAAAGGGAAACACTGTCAGTAGCTCTGCACTTTCCTATGTCCGCTTTTCAAGGTTTATCCTTCTGGGTGTCATGGGGACTTCCCGAGGGAGTCTCTTGAAAGAAGTACGATAGGATTTGCAGAACTGGACCCCAGAGCTGTTCTGCAACGGTCACAGTATGTGGATGCGCCATATCATCGTGAGCTGGTTCGAAGAAAGCTTGTCAGCGTGTTCAGGGTTTTCATTTCGTTGGAAAATAAGGTCCTGCCTGCGTCCACAATTCGTTTAGTAGGGGCTAGCAGTGCGCCAAACCCAGCAGAACTAAAACGCCCAGCGTCCGCGCGAACAAGTCTGCACTTTTCTCTCGGTGATCGATAAAAAATACTGTTTAGTGGAGGACCTAACGGTCACCTACTACTGAATTACTGCTACACCATGTATTTGTAACTGGACGGGTTACAATGCACTGGGACGTCGTTAAAGGCTTGAGAAGATGTTGCGGAAAGCCCTCAAATCAGCCAGAGGCATCTAATCTGAATCGAGTTGTTTTCTCCTTCTTCACTTGTCAGCTGACGAGAACTTTGAGCTCGTTTCTCTAATGGATTGTCCTGCTCCTAAGCACACGTGATGAAGCTTACTGGTTACGGAAATAGCTGCACTTTATGTTTGTCATGCCATGGTGTCTGTATCAGATGAGTGCATGCATTTTCAAGTAAGTGTATTTCTTTCCCATGAAGCTCATATGACCGGATATTTTGAATCCCTGCCCAGAAAATATGCGAAGGATAAACAGCGTGCAGCTGAATATAGCCGGCAACAATCCACCTCTTCACGGCGTGCTATGAATGCACAAGAGGCCTCGTGCCCGTCCGAGGGCGGCATAAGGACGGGAATCCGCCCGAAAAACATGACTCGTGTTTTCAGGAATGCCATTCACGGAACGCCATAACCGTAGGTGGCGGGGGAGAGCCATCGGCAAAGTGGCGTCTAATGATGTTTGGCCGTGCTTGGCATCATTCCTGGTACTCAGAAGCACAATCCTTCGTTCCAAAATCCCATCGGGATTCAATACGGGCACCCATGTTAGGATCAGAGTTTGGCTTCTTTTCAGAAAACGTATAGCACCGTAGGAGACACGTTGGCTATAACAAGGTTCAAAGCCCTATGAAAGACATGGCATGTTGCATGTTGAGGATCTCCAGCGAGCGTAGCTCGAGTAGGATGTTCCTGATTTTTGACTTTTCTCGGTTTTTCCCGTTTTTCATACCCCTCTTCCCCACTCCGATTACAGCTTCTTTCACTTTTGCTTTATCTCAC